CCGTATTTATAGTCACTATATGACATAAGCAATAAAAAGAATCAATTACAAGCCACTTCATCTTTGTTTTATGTTCTATGTACCAGGTATGTGATTAACTTACGTTATATTTTGTGTCTTTATAATGGGGCAGATCGCCTAAAAAATGTTCACAATTTATGTATTTGTCCATACAGTTGTTATTACTTCATTGATCATACTTATCTCACATATATATGGCCAATATATATAGACAGAATATGATTTGTGTTGTTTTTTGTTTCATCATTATCTAAATAATATCATTAATCACAAAACCACATGAATAACATCAACCGTTCATAATGGTGATAACAAAAGGAATTCTGTCTGTTATTATCCCATTAATATATGGACGAGAAGACTCGGAGGACAAAACCAGATCGTATCTACTGTACACGGTGAAGTCTGGATAAGCATTATGACACAATTAGTACTATATATTGTGCTTCCATAGTGACCAATATAAAAAAACTAACCCTGATTACTGATAAAAGATGTCTATAAATCTTAATTAGTCAACACAATTGGCGGGGAATGATTCCCGGTGGAGAATGATAGATTTGATATAATACTATGTAGTGGTATATAACAACATGTATTAAATATATATTAGTAAATATATTACAATCAGCTTTCATTTGACAGAATATCACTTTAAAACTGCCACCTAGTACTGTTTATAATCTATTTTACAGCTAATATTGCAGTATGTAATCACTGAATTATTGAAATCTGTTTCATCACTTTAGGTACTTGAAATATTTTAATCCAAAACTGCAGTGTTATACTAACTTATGATGTTGAAAAGTAATTATATGATAATGCCACTGAATTCTATATGTGTTTGTAGAATTTCAAGCCTCATATACAGTACATACAATACTGGTTAAAACTAATATTACAAGGCACAAGAACAGCATGATAAAAAGCCAAAGGAAATCTCAAAGACGAAAGCTAAGGGAAAGGAATGAGGACATCAACATCAAGATTTTAAAGGGAATAAAAATAGAGGTAGAAAATATGAATATGTATCACATCAAAAACAGAAGAAAACACAATACCAACATTTCATTAGTTCATAAAACAAAGTGCACCAAGCATAAGAAACTGATTGAGGATTCAATTTCAGGACAAGATAATAAAAAAATTTTAAAAAGTGATTTAAAAGAATAATATTTGAATTCTTAGAATCAAAATACCTGGACAAAAGCCCTACCCCTCATAAGTTTTATTGGTCAAAAACTGAGATAAAAGATAAGTGCCGACAAAGTGCAGAAAATCCATCATATCTTTTTTTGGTACATTTTGTGGTAAAATCTGTGAATTTCTGGATGGATCTTCAATATATACATTTTATTTATCTGTTTCAATAAGTAAAGATAGGTTCATCTAGTCATGGCTGCATGGGATATATACAGAATAAACATTTTTGTAATAGTACACAAGTAACTCATAATTACTGAATAGACAAGTTTTACTCTATTGCTTTCACTGAATATTTCTAATCTGCTTACACGTATGTACCTAACAAAAGAGCTCTGTCACGATTCTTTACTTCAGTATACAATAGCTTCATGTGTATCAGTGCAATGCTTTGCTGAACAAGACCTAAATACTATCACTTGGTAGCTGTATATGATCTACTGTACCGAGTCAGTGATGCCAAGGACATATACCATAAACAGTGAATTTTCAAATAAGAAATTTATTGCACCACCTGAGACACAACAGCTGTTGAATTTTACAAGCATATATAGGATAACATTTCTGGTTTCATATACTGATATCTCATGCAAGGTATTTCAATGTCTGTTTACACAGTCAACTTTCAATCTTTCTTACTTATCAGTATTATAATCTTTGATTCCTCCAGATATCTCTTGAATGAGATGCTTTCAAGGGTCTGATGAAAGTCCTGAATATACAATTGAACCTTTTTGTCTCAAAATTGCTTGAGTCAAAATAATTTCAAAGTCCCAATTATTTTGCTTCTTCATCTGTGTAATTTTAGTTTGGATGACTCTAATTTCAATGAGTTAAACTTATTATTAATTTTTCAGTTGCTTGAATTGTGAAGCAAGTGAGAAGTAATTTGTTGTCTGCGTGACAGACTGGAAACATGTGCAGTAGGATAGATTGCATGCCTCTTTAAAGAGTGATAAAACTGAAAGTGTTTTTTAGGGGCAGTCTGACAGTAACATGTACAGATTGACAGTAATGTCATGTTAACATGATAATTACTAACTCATCATTTCTAGCAGCAAATCAAAAGAAAATTTTTAGTTTCGTTTTTTTTTTTTTTAAAAATCATTTTTGACTTTCCGTAAAATACATGAACTTTGTACAGGGAATGTATGTGAGAGATTGAACGAAGCAAGCAGTTAATTGCTTTAGTTACTAGGCCCTTTGTTCTTTTGGTTTTAACTGTATCTATACATAAATGATAAGGACTGTAGAAATTACGTATCTATATATGTTTGGCACCATGTGTCTTCTGTGATAATATCACATAATGTTAATCAATGTTATCAAAGCCTCTGTGACAGGAACATCTGTTCTAGTCTTGTGTAACACTAGTAGTGTTGTCTATATAGGTCTAGCAATGTCTATTATGTAATTGTGTCACTAGTAACTGCCCAGCTGTATGTAGATTTCGTTACTTTCTCTCCATGTGATCAATCAATAATGTTAAATTAAAATTGCGTATCACTGATGCACTCTTTATTTTGAAAATTTAAAAAAAAAATAAATAAATACTAATCATCCAGGATAAAAGAATTTGAATTACTTTGAGTTAAGTACAAATTGAAGAAAAAATTTCATCAAAAGCAGGAACAATTCCACACATGTTTTACATCTTAAAGTTAGGTACATATGTGACAATGACAATACACACACAGGGTTTTCCATAAGAGCCGGTCGCCGGCCAATTTGATCATTTGGCTGCCTTAATCAATCCAGTTCCGTAATAATGTTCCATACACGACTACACGTATATGGCAGGCCAGCCTCCTACTTTCACTACATAGCCCACTACTAACAAAATTATGGAAAACCCTGCACACATCTTCTTAACTGTTTGTTTGTAACACTAATGTCCTTAGTGTTACATGTTGGTCTGGAATATTTAGCAGCTTAGTTCATAGTTCATAGTTCATAACTGGCTTCTTTGGTTTTATTCATGATCAGTGAGAACGGTATAGAGTTAGTATCTTCATATGAAGGTTGAATTATCCTATTTATCATATAACTACCCGCTATCATTGTAATTACATCCATAATTTGTTGTAATTACTCATGTATAGAGGAATGCTATTGGCTGATGATTCCCACTGTTTCCATTAGTGACATCATAACTTTATAGTCATGCAGAACCCTAACATTAATATCAGTAATATCACATATATAATTAGTTTGCCAAGCACCTTGATCTTTTTCTCTTTTAATAAAACACAAATTAACAAAGCATTGAGTGTATTAGGAATTAATGTCAACAGAATTGTTAAATCACATTTAGACTTAGAATTAAATACATATATAATATTTAAATGCCAAACAGACGTTATGGAAGATCAACTCTTAATATAAAAACAACTTTTTGTATTTGTTCTTCATGTCTCCAACAACCAAATATATTCACTGAAACTTGGATGACATCTGATGACTTATCAATCTTTTTTTAAAAATACTAAGAGGAAGACTAGGGTAAAAATTTCAAAACATTTTTACATCATGTATCAAAAAACTTGTTACAGATTTGAGAAAGTAATAATGATATTTGGACTTAGGAGTTGCATGGCAAGGTTTTGAAATGAATTGAACTCACTCTTTAGTTCCTAAATATATATAAATAGTTATCACCACCAGTATATACTAAGCCCACTGTACTGTATATATAACATTTGCTCATTATGTTGCTATTCAGACCTCGTACCTGACAACATTTCTATTGTGACACACTGTATATAAAATACTGACCACTTTCAGGTATGCAAATTATTGTTACCCTTTGTTAAAAGCATTTTGTATGTCTAAGTGAATGAATAAATAGAAACTTGTCTATAAACCAGCATGGCTACTATCAAAGTAATTAAGTGCTGTAAACTGCTATAATCTAATTTTGGCTGGTATTCTATATCAAGTCCTGCATCAGGGCATTGATCTTTACACGCCACATGCTTGTACATGTCCCCTGCTAAAAGGATGTATTAAGTGCAAAGTGCTTGCAGAATCCATTAAAAATGATTTCTGAAAAGTATTCAATATCATTCTATAAACTGTTATAAACGAGTAAGCATTAATCATAACTGAACTACCTTTCTGTACTATGTTGATGTAAAGAAGTCATCTTGACAACCAAAGATGTATATAACATATAATTATTTTCATCTTCAGTGGCAAACATGAAATGGCTTATTCTTCTGTGGCATGGAATTATAAGCTAAATTTCATTAACATGTTTTTAGATGTTCCAGTGTTACAGATGTCAGTTTATGCGTCAGTCCAAGAATAGATATACAGTGAAAATATTGTGATAGATGTACTTCTAAATCTACCAACGAATGTATCTCCAGGAAATTGTATGAATATTCAAACAACTATTTGTAAGATTTATCAATTTCATGTAGAACAATTTTCAATATGTTAAATAAATTAAACACTTTTTGTTATTTCTGTTGAAAGCCATGCCATGCTATATCAAAATGGAAGTTTATCAGGCCAACGACCCCCATCCCTATCCTGTTGCGCTTTCATTATTCACGATCATTTTTCACTATTGATATTATATGATCGTAAGTCAATACTAAAGTAACTTGAAACACGACAATTTGCTCTTTTGCAGTGAAAAATAATGGAGAATGTGACAAATTCCTTAAGCCAATCTTCCACGGAAAGTGAAAGCATGTCACACTTTATAAAATATATGGTGACACACTATATCTATAAACAGATGTCAGTGACAAGTGTTGCAGACTTACCTTCAGTTCGTGAATTTCCTTCAGAAAAGTGACCAGAAAGGGTAACAAGTAACCCTATAATGAAGAAATAAACAGACATATTGTCTGATATATCTGTTTAAAATCCAAACAAAGCGACTACATGGTTTTCAATTGTTTGTTGATGAGAGCTGCACTTAACCGTCTTGTTTAGCTCCTCGATCTCAGTCGAGTACAGAATCTCGATAATTCTCGTCACGAACGAGATCCGCATCTGGTTGTATTAACTACAGCAATGTAGTGTCTTTTAGGCCTGGCAACGCACGGGACTGTCAAATACGGACTTCGATATAAATCTTTATGTATGGCCGTTGTTCCAGAATGTGCTCAATAGCTTGTAATATAACATATATAATGATCATCTTTCAGATAATGTTTGCTCGCTTTTAATTCTGACTTTTTAGGTACGATATGTTGAATGGGGAATGGTTTGTACCCATCCCTATCTGCCAGGCATGTATACCTGGTAAGTGTCGCATGTGTGTATAATGAAATGCTTATCATGCTGAACATAATTATTTGTGTTAGAACCTTTAAGGATGTATGAAATGAACCGAAATTCTAAAATTAAACGTTTGTTCCGGTGGTTATATTTTGAACAGGTTAGGATGATAGGAAATACCTCTCCCACCAACTGAAAAAAAAACAACAACAACACACACACACACACACACACACACACACACGCACGCACGCACGCACGCAGAGAGACCCTTAACTCCCCCACACCCTCACTCATCCCCATTTCCTTCAACACAAACCCTCACAGCGCCCCCCTCACACCCCCTTACACCCCCCAAAAAAATGGTCAAAATAATCGTTTTGATAAAAATTTGATTTAAATTTCAACTAAAAAAGGACATAATTAATTTTCGTCTTAAAATAAGCATTTTGCTATAATTCGTAATGTAAAAATGTAAAGGTTACTGATCAGAGGAGAAATTTTTTGAACTTTTATTCGGAAAATGGCATATAAGTATTTTTCCGAAATGCAGTCATATAAGCAGGAAATAAGAGATTGACACTTATATTCATATTTTTCCTTACCATGTCAAAATCATAGCCGGAACAACATATAAATGTAATTAAGATGTTTTCAGAGAAATATTTTATATACAGTCAAACATGATTTGTGGGTTAAAATCCACCTTCTCTTCCATTAACGCTACCAAATTGTACAGAGTTGTCGTTCTTTACTCTCTAATAGTATCAATTTCTCTCATAGTCCTTGAAACGTGTAATCATTACCCCGCTATTGTCATCATACTTATATTTACTAGTAAAACACGGGTTATGATAATGAAAACAAAAACAAAACAGAACAGCTCTTGAATGGTTACAATTACATCGAACGTATTGATCACCAGGAGTTACCAGGCTGAGTCAAACTCTGACTAACTGTAAATAGTATCACCAAGTGTATCCTGCCTTACAGTGAAGCTTGGACACCATGAATAGTCTGCTGTTTGTGACGTTATTTGAAGTTATCAGCCTGTGTCTGTCCTTCAAACCTGTCATTTATATGCACGGGATTCTTGCTTCATCTGATGAAGTAAAACCAATAATTGATCTCATAGAAAAGGTAAGCTGCAGGCCTTCAATGAGAGGCAGGTGAATTTATACATGTAGCCTACTTTCGTTTCGTCATATGACTTGGGCCGTTTTCCTTTATTCGGCTAGGGAAGTTGATACATTGGGGCTATAATCCAACTGACAGTCATATGAAACAATGCACAAGCTTAGGTTAGGTATTCTACATTTTAAAATATCCTTGTGGTCACTTGTCACCAGTAACGATGATTAACAAGATCATCGACACTGGAAAGATAATCGGTGTTAAAATTGACATAATTTTAGACAATATGTTCAGGAAATTTGTGCTGAAAATTCAAACATTTAAAATTGAAATCGCTGTTTCGATTTATCAATTAATGGAAATGCATATAAATATATATGACTGGTTTTGTAAATAGACGTTATGACCAACCAGTGACCGATGTGCCTTAAGTTGAGGTATTGTTTTTGATCCTTTGTGATGGAATTTAGTGGATATTCATATATTTAAGGATGCTTCAAATCTGTGATTTGTTTCAGCAGCTTGTTCATGAGAGACCTGGATTTTTGGTAGTATATGCACAGGCAGTCTTACAATATGCTAATTGATTATATCCCATTTCTTTCACTACCTCCACATTGAGTCAATGACACTTCTCTCATGTGGTCAGATATGAAATATACAATATTTACAGCATGATTAAGAATCACAAATTAATTGTATGAAAGAAAAGTTGACAACATAAATAATAAGACAAATATATCACAGAATGAAATGATATCAGAGATTTAGTAAATCTTTTAGTAAGTCACATGTGTAGTCTTTAAAATAACTTATACAGGTATAGCATACATGTTACCATTTTGCTTTTCTCATTCTACACGCTTCCAACTTTTCTTACCAGCTGAAAGGCCAATGACTATAATAACAGTTGTTGAGTCCATGAAATAAATGAATAATGAAATGCTTATTAATATTATTTAGCTTTCGGAATGAAGTTAGAACATTGGCTGAAGCTGTTTCTTATACTTCATTGGCAACACAAGAAATATATAAAACATGCTCAATTCAGGTAAATGTATATAGATGTCAAATTCTGAAATGTAATAAGATGACATCTAACAATAATACAGATAAGTATTGTGAACTGTTAATAACAGGTTCACCCAGGGACCAATGTGACAACTATTGATGCCTTCAATGGTTACGAGAGCTTACAGCCGTTATGGACCCAGGTGTACAAAATACAGAGTATTGTTGTGGACATCATGAAGGATCATCCAGAAGGGGTTCATTTGTTATGCTTCTCACAAGGTTTGTAGTTCACAGTATGTTGTTCACAAATAATGTCACACAATATAATACCTACAACCATCTCTCCAGAATTTTCACACCTGACACAAAGAAACACCTTCAGTATTAAAATGGGAACATGCAGCAGTGGTTTTCTGACTTGGTTTTAAATGAAGATTTGTTTGGTGATAAATTTTATGAAAGCTCTTTTCTTTTATTTCAACCATCTGAAACAGTTGTAATTGTTCAGTTTCAACAAAGATTACTACATATGTGCAAAGTTTCTAGATCAAGTCTGGTAAGTAAAACCCTGAATTAGTGCCTATCCCACATACTCTAGTGTTGATCATCCCATGCTCAACAAGACAGCTACTTATGTTAATGTTGTATGTAATGCTGCCCCTGTAAATAGCCTGCTGAGAATCCAAATTCTCACTATATACAAATTAATTCCAGAATCTAATGTTTACAGTGTACTGGTAGTTATACACTGTACAATACAATGTAAATAGTCGTAAAACTTCTTTAGTTTGAAATTGATATAAATAAAGGTGATGAATGTAAAATCAGTCGAAGTTTACCAATAATCTCAGAAACTGAAAAGTGGAAAAGTTTTAGGACTGTTAATAAAACTAGTGTTAGTAAATGTACTATATATTTCAGGCGGATTGATATGTCGTGGTTTACTCTCTGTAACAAGACACAATGTTGACACATTCATATCCCTGAGTTCACCACAGGCAGGTCAATATGGAGGTCAGTACATTTATTGTTTTATTTAGTTTCTTTTCATTTTTTATTAGATTTTCATATCTTATTCTAATTGTTTGTTTATTTTAAAGTGCTTTTACATGCGAAACATTCTCCCATTTACACCTATTAATTACCTTGACCTACTTTTTATAAGGTCACTCTTTCTCCTACATTATATATATACAAAAAAAAGAATGAGTTTGATACTTTGGTTGATCATGAAAGTTATCAAAATAAACTCTTCAAAGAGTGTTGTCCCCTAATAAGGTGCTAAGCAGTGGCTCATAGGCCTCTTGAATATCAATGACAACAATTACAAGAAATATGAAAAATATACCTAAATGTCCTTTAACTTAATAAGAGGAATATTGTGTTTTGTTTATTTATCCTCAAGCGCATCATGGCCATGTTATCTTTAACTGAGTAGTGTTTTGTTATTTACACCTTTTTTCAGACACTGCTTATTTGAAGTATCTGTTTCCACATTTCATAAAAGAAGAAATTTACAGGTGAGCTAAAGATTTATGTCCTTATATCTGATCAAGTCTTAATTGAATCATATTATTACTTCATCACATTCCTTGTGAATGCAACTTCTCCTGAAGTCAATATTATAGCAAGTCTTTCTGAATGGATCTCCTCTTACTAAAATCTAGAATTTTATCTATTGTATGTCAGTTTACTGATTCCAGTACATTAACTCTACCTTGCACTTTGTTGCAAGGAGTATAAATATCACTGCATAAGATATTGGACTCTCTCTTGTAATTTGTTTTTATGGTATTATTGTCACCATGTAACTTTTTGATTACCGGTAACTGATACATACTGAGACTATGCAAGGTCAGGAGCCTCCTCTTCTGTGCCTCATCCCACACTTTTTGACTCATAATTGCTAATACATACAGTGAAAACTGTCACACACTCCGAACCCCTCCTTCCTGCTGGTGGCAGAGTCAAACAGGAATGCTTGCTGCTATAGCTGCACATATAAATTAGTTTTACTTACAACCAACAAACACTATCAAACTACTGATATTACTTCCAAAGATTTGCAACACAGATTTACAAAGGTACTGGTTCTTTATAAGTGGAAAATAGGATCCCTCCTCTTCCTCTTCTGACTTGGCCCCATCATACTCCTATCACTAGACATTCTTTCCTATCAATCCCTCTTCCATCTCTTCCTTAATGCCAAAATCAACCTTTAACATGCAATCTGTAGAAAATTGACTAAAATGTTAATATAAATTTTCCAATAACTCAGTAGTTATCTCAAATAACACAAATTTTTTGCCTCCCCAAAACTTACTTAACACTTTATAATTCACTTTTATAAAAGTTTCCAAATGTGAAGTTTCAGGAAGTCAGTATCTGTGTTGTTTTATACAAAGAAAAAATTGTGATGTGACTTTAATGACAGTGGCATAGAGCTATGGAGTAATGACCAACTGGGGATCAAAATACTTGTTTTATCATACATGTTTTTGTGAACCTTTCCTCAAAATAATTTATAATGAGGTATACTAAAGCAATTGTACAATTGATCCTTGTTTTTTTTTTTATCATTTTAGGTATTTTTATACCAGTTATGGACAACATTGGTCTGTGGGTAACTATTGGCATGGTAAGAACATATACACACTGAATTTGCTATTACATACTTGTGAAAAATCAGATATATTCACTGGCAATTAATTACTGACTAGAATGTTACAATCAAGGTGCTACATGTATTTACAGTGATTAATATCACTAGTTTGTTCAGCATGTTCATGGACTAAAGTGTATATCTATAATAAACTAAAGTGAAGATCTATAATGGACTAAGGTGTGTATCTTTAATGTCTGTGGTAAATACTTTTTATGTACATATATGTAGTATTAGATACACTGTTTACAGCTGTCAATGTGAATGGAAGTGATGCTTTACTAATACTATTGTAAAACATTAAATAATGTTAACTGTGAATTTTTTTATTATGGAAAAATACCTATTATTATATTTTATTAATTTTATAATTTATAACATGATGGAATTTTTTTATAGATCCACACCATGAAGAACTTTACAGAAATGAATCTGTGTTCCTGGCACTGCTGGACAATGATACAAACTCAGAACACAATATAGGTAATAAAGGTTTTCACAAATGTGAGGACAATAGAAGGATTTTACAGTAACGATTCACTGACGTCACCTCAAGAACTCAATAACCCTTTCATGTCTGTGATGTCAAAACAAAATGCGAAGTACTTGCACAACAAAAACGTGTACCTAATAAGACCAGCAGGACCAACGCCTCCTTATTGGTGAAATGGGTGAGCTTGACACTCGGGAAAAGATGGTTAAGTAGCAAACACTGAGCAAGCCTCATGTTTACTAAATTAATCCTCCTCCCCCTCATGTTAATATCTCTCTATCTCACCACAAAGGGGATGAAAGATTATATTACTTCAACTGAAAATACTGGTATTGTTTAGCTGTTGGTTACTGTAAGCTGCACAGTGACTCTCAATTTTCTGTTGGAATAAGAAACAGATTTCCTTTATGATGTTTGTGATATTTTTTAATTGAAGTTAATGGATGAAAAATTATGTTTTAATTTGTCAGTACAAGCATGTTAGTATTTTCATGTGCCAGTAGTTTAAAAAATCTCAATCAGTACACAATGATAGGCAATTAGTAGATTGACTTACAGGATACAAGATATCTTTCACAAATACAAAGTATTATGGCTGATTTCAACCCAATTACAGCTCAAATCTAATGTATGTTGGAGTAAACGAGTCATGAATGAAATAAGACTGTTTGTGGTTTTATCTAATAGTGATGGTAACAGATCTTGACTTTAAGATAGAGTTAGAAGACTAGGTTTTCAATCAGATGTTTTTTCTTACTATCTTAGTTTTGCTTTCAAAAACCAGTCTTTTTTTAAATCTTCTGCATTCTGTTAATTTACAGAGTACAAGGAAAATTTTCTGCAACTGAAGAACTTAGTGCTAATTGGTGGACCTCATGATCAAGTGATTACTCCATGGCAGTCCAGGTACATTTATATACAGACTACAGGCATACAATGTAGAGTACAGAAAAGGAACACTGATGTTGTCTACCTGTGTACAGGACAGGTACACAATACTGATGTTGTCTACCTGTGTACAGGACAGGTACACAATACTGATGTTGTCTACCTGTGTACAGGACAGGTACACAATACTGATGTTGTTTACCTGTGTACAGGTCAGGTACACAATACTGATGTTGTCTACCTGTGTACAGGACAGGTACACAATACTGATGTTGTCTACCTGTGTACAGGACAGGTACACAATACTGTTGTTATTTACCTGTGTACAGGACAGGTACATCATACTGTTGCTATTTACCTGTGTACAGTACAGCACACAACACTGATGCTACATGTAAATATATTTACCTGTTAAAGATACAGGTACACCATAGTGATGTTAAATGTATTTACCTATGTAAAGAGCAGGTAAACCACACTGATGTTACATGTATTTACATTTGTACCTGTTTACGGTGCAGGTAAACCACACTGATGTTACATGTATTTACATTTGTACCTATTTACGGTGGAGGTAAACCACACTGATGTTACATGTATTTACATTTGTACCTGTGTAAAGTTCAGGTAAACCACACTGATGTTACATGTATTTACATTTGTACCTGTTTACGGTGCAGGTACACTGTAGTGATGTAACATGTATTTACCTGTAAAGAGCAGGTATGCCACACTGATGTTAAATGTATTTACTCATTTACAAGACTGACATAATGTAATGTATCAATGTATCTAACTTTTTTGTAGTCAATTTGGATTCTTCAATGGATCAGAAGATATCGTTGAGATGCGACAACAGCGGGTATGTCACAAAGCCATAAGATGATGATATTGTTCACGTTTTCACTAAAATCCAGTACGAAGGAATGAATGATACTTGCACAGTAGTGTTTTCATCCCTAGGGTTTGAGTAAAGCAGGAAATACTGTAATGTATTTATCTAAAATCCTTGATCAGCTTCTACCCTAAAATTTACTGATTTCTTCCATTATAGAGGATGTGAACTTTTTACCATAGAAAATCATGTATATTCATCAGTATGATAGACAGTAGATATCTCTTTGCTAGTGTGAATGAAAAATATCATTATATACTGTCACGCAAATGAAATATATAGGTCATTTCATTGGAAGCCGTTATATTTTCTATGTATTACATTGTTAAAGATATAAGATAAATCACTGTGTTAGCAAATTGTCAATCCGCATGTCAAGCAAATTAGAGTCAAAAATAGTTTGGGAAATATAAACATATTCTTTGACTGAACTGTTCATTGGCAAATGAATCAGACAACATTTGTCAATGTCGTAAAGTCTCGGACATTACTTAATGGTTGATATGAAAATCTTTTCTTTTCCAGTTTTACTTGCAGGACTCGTTTGGATTGAGGACATTAGACAAGAGAAAAGCGATTCACATTTACACAATACCAGACATAGAACATGTGATGTGGTACAGAGATCCAAAAGTATTCCACTGTTGTGTCAAACCCTGGCTTACATAGATCAAACAATAAAGAATTCTGTTATTGCCTTGTTCACATATATCAATCAAAACATGCATATTGAGATCACACTAATGAGTTGAACTTATTTGCCCCTTAGTCTCAAATAAGTTTTTGTCTGATGTGGGGAATGGCATTGAACTGAGAGTGCTGATTTGTACTGTTTGTACTCTCAAGCCAGTGGGAAATTATGAAAAAAAAACCATTGACTCATTCTAGATCATTTGAATCCAGTACATAGTATTATCTACCTAGGTCAGGAATGAAATGTTACCACTATCTACCAAGGTCAGGAATGAAATGTTACAACTATCTACCAAGGTCAAGAATGAAATGTTACCACTATCTACCAAGGTCAGTAATGAAATGTTACCACTATCTACCAAGGTCAGTAATGAAATGTTACCACTATCTACCTAGGTCAGGAATGAAATGTTACCACTATCTACCAAGGTCAGGAATGACATGTTACCACTATCTACCAAAGTCAGGAATGAAATGTTACCACTATCTACCTAGGTCAGGAATGAAATGTTACCACTATCTACCTAGGTCAGGAATGAAATGTTACCACTATCTACCAAGGTCAGGAATGAAATGTTACCACTATCTACCAAGGTCAGGAATGAAATGTTACCACTATCTACCTAGGTCAGGAATGAAATGTTACCACTATCTACCAAGGTCAGGAATGAAATGTTACCACTATCTACCAAGGTCAGGAATGAAATGTTACCACTATCTACCAAGGTCAGGAGTAAAATGTTACCACTATCTACCAAGGTCAGGAGTGAAATTATACATTCTGATCATGGGCATTTCCTCCTTATTTTAAACAAAATGATTTTGTCAAATTCAACGAAGCAAATCTGAGTGAGAATTTCCCTATTCTCCATTACCTACTTAACAATTAATCAAATCTATACCCCCATCCCCTCCATGATCCAGGGTTTGTGCATTAATACTGACAATAACATTCTTTTCTACCATATATATCAGGCATGATGCTGATTTGGCGATTCCATTGAAGTAGATATCAATATAATCATGTTGAACATCAAATTGAATTACATATACCGCCACATTACAGAGTTCAGTGTTTTGTCTGTCATTGTGCACATAAACTTTTCACATGTTAAACTGCTTTTCGAGGGCCATTAGTGGGATTCAGCTCACGCTAGCTTCAAACTATCCTGAGCTTAATGAAATAGAATGGTATCCAGCCTTTTAGATAAATATGTCTTCATCAAAGTTGCAAGTATTTAAAAACAAAACAGGAAAAAGAGAAAAAAAATCATTTCAGGCTTTTAAATAAGATGTTACAGAACATCAGCTAAATTGTAAGTATGTCGTAAATCTTAAATGCTTGTACATACAGTGGAACATTCCATGTCTTCTGTACTTCAAAAGTTAGATATTACAGGGATATTTCACACATTAAACATTTATCTTATATACTCATTCAACGATGTGTATAAATAACATCCTTAATCTGCTCATCTCAAAGTAAATACCCAATAGAGGCTGTATTGACTCTGTACATAAAAATCTGCCATCAATGAAACACCAGATACTTGCCCTTCTGTAACACCTGGTCTTATTCACCTTGTACTTTTTCCATGGTTGATAAAAAGCTTGATTTTGTTTATGTTTTGCCCTTGTGACATTGACGATGAGTGTGAAATATACCTCGATGTGATTTTGTTAACATGTCTTGTTATTGCAGACATTTTTTTTATTCTTGATTTGTTGATTATAATTTGCTGGAGAGTGAAGTGTAACTCACAGCTGATTAAATTTATTTGTGAAATAGGAAATATTTCTTTTTACATAATTTACATGTACAAACAGAGTGTGATTTAAGCACCTGTTGAATTAGTGTTACATGTGTATATCTTGGGGTGATTGATCATGAAGGAATATGCTGTAAGTGCAGGGGAAATTATGCATGATGGGATGTGATATTTACAGGTGGTATTGTGTGGGTCATATGACCAATCCATCACAGATGTGGTGTGATGTCTCGGAATTTTATGTATGGGATAAACAGAATCTATAATGTCTGTAATTTACATGAGTGATGTGCTTTATGTTTCATTTAAGAAATGTGATTGATGCAGTCAATGTTTGTTTTGTTTACTAAATGATCTGGTATTTTTTATTTTAGCTCACCTTCCCCAAATAATCCAAAGGGTTCTTACTGTCTGTCCATACTTTATATTTTTGATTCTTTCTATTCTTTTGATTCAAAGACAAAAATACAAAATGGCTGAGAGATAGTCAGAACCTTTTTGACTAACTAATTAAAGGAAAAGTGAGCTGGTTTCGTGGTCCTGGCAGCTGGTATCCAGGATCAATTTAGCTTTAACAACTTGTTATCAGTTACGAACATGAATCCAAAAATCATGATTTTGATAAACAAGAAATATCATGCTGATATGTAGTAACCATTCTTGAATGACAAATGAGTGATACGGGTCCATTTGGCATCTTGTTTATATACAAATATATGTTTTTCACATTGCAGGCGTAAGTAATAAGAAAATTGTTTAATTGTGTTTTGGTGTTCCCTATGTGTTCCATAGCGTCTCAAATATAACATGTTATATTTTACAAGCTAATCAATCATATTAATTCCTCATGTATAATTCTCTGTACTTAATACTCATTATGTCTTTATCAAGTCTTTTGTAATGAACATGCTTATTGACAATGTAATTTGTCTACCGATTCTCGTTTCTTTGTACGTTATTGTTAGAGAAAAGGTAAAACTGAATGGGTTTGACGGACTGTTTAACTACATCATGCATCTTAAAAACCTGTCTAATTTCTCTTTAACTCTGTGCTGACAAGGAACGTTATCATTTTCAAACAAAGATCACAAATTTTATTATTTTGTGGCGATATGAATTTATTGCAAGTTTGCAAGCAGATGTATTAAAAGTCTTTGTGATTTTGATAATTGTTGCATGGATGTGGCCAATTGCCAGAACTAGCATTGTTTGACTGATTATACGTCTGCAAGCTCTGCTACAATTGTATGCTAGTGTGCAAGCTCTGCTACAGCAGTATGCGAGTCCACAAGCTCTGCTACAGCTGTAAGCTAGTCCGCAAGCTCTGCTACAATTGTATGCTAGTCTACAAACTCAGCTACAGCTGTATGCTAGTGTGCAAGCTCTGCTACAGCTGTATGCCAGTTCACAAGCTTTGCTACAGCTTTATGCTAGTCTGCAAGCTCTGCTACAGCTGTGTGCTAGTTCACAAGCTCTGTTATAGCTGTATGAGTCTGAAAGCTCTGAAACAGTTATATGGTGGTCCATAACCTCTGAGGTGGTGTGAGCTGTGAAATATACAGTAATAAGTGATGAGAATAATACTTGATATTATGCATGCCTTTCTGTTTTGTTTGTGCTTCCAAGATGATGCGCCAAAAGGTGTACTTTGCTTTCTGTAAATTTAGCAGCCAAAACATGATATCAAATTGCTGAAACTAAAATATTTATGTGTGCAACTGAGTGTTTGATACAGTATTATTTACATACCAGTATGTTCCTAGTTCTCAAGAAAAATTTTGCTGTTATTCATGTTTTTAAATGGTACTTTATGAAGTAGCACTCTGTTAGTTGAACTAGTCAAAATTAAGTGTATCTTTTTTGAAATTCTGTATTCATATTTTCAGTCTCTTGTGTCGTGTACTTAGAATGTAAACATATTAAATTATATGCAAGAAAATGTAATCTGAATGTTGTACAACTGATATTAACATTTATTGTATGTATGAGTTTTGTAAGGATACTTGTGTTGTTTAATACATTGTACTTGATAATAAAGCTGTATTTTATGACACTTTATATCTTGTGCATAATACCGGTAATTTTTAAGTGTAAACAAAATTATTAGAATGTAGCACCAGTGAAACAAAGTAGATTTACATAAAGGACTGAGTTCACATTTAAATAGAGCTCAATATTTTTATGATATAATAACATGTAACATTTTTTGTGTGATCTGTATTGAATACATGTATATCTACTCCATTGAATACATAACGATCAAGGTATTTACATTCTGTATATTACTCTGTGTATATTGAAGTCCATTTCATCTTTCTCAATACAACAAATTGTGAAAATTGTATTATTATTTCTAAGAAAGTACTGGATTTATCTTTCTCAAATTTGATCTGTAGAAACTTTTTATTGAATTTCTTTGATGGAACAATAATACAAAAATGATTGACAGGAAATAGATGTTAAAGGGCTATCATGATTCCTTCTCAACTTTGAAAAGTCTCCCTTCATCCCCAGTATCCTTTATTTGAATTTCATGTTAATATCATGAAGGCAGCCAACTTAGATCTGGAGATTTTAAGTTTTACGATCATATTTTCTCTAAACTTTTTCTACATTTGTATTTGTGCCTGTTCACTTCATTCTTGCTGCTTCTGTAAAAGTACTAGTCAGTGTAAGAAATGGATATTATACAATTATTGTTCACTTCCTGTTAGTCCCGAGTAATGTATGTACAATGTACAGATTGAAGAACAAGATAGGCAGCCATTTTGGATTTCATCTCAAAAAATAAGCCTATAAGGATGTGTTTTAATTACTCCCTATTAAGTGTCAGTATAACAGAACTCTGAAGAGATTAGAGGAAATGTCAGAATTACCTGATCCAATGTTTATTTCACAATGGTGGGCTTCTTTTGGAATCTCTGGCTTCTTTTCAGTTAAAACTTTTGTTTTGTTTTGGGTTTTTTGTTTGGTTTTTCATGTATATGTACATTGTAAGATTAATTTTTCAAGCCAAGAGATCATACATTCCTGACACCAGTATTAAGTTAACCAATTGATTAACTTTATATCCTTACACAGTTCACTGACGACCAAGCTTTTTATATCTCTATGTAAATCAAATAAAAATACTGATTTGTCAATGGTGTTCTATTATCTATCTATAACAATGTACTTCATCAAAGCTGATGTCTTTGTTGTTGAGGTAACTGTAAGACTAATGGGTAATGATGACATGCTCCAAGACTACAGGGCAAAGTTGATTTGATCCAGACTGCAAGTCAATGTAATTAAAATTGGGTGATGTCTCTCCCACTACTACCAGATGGTTGACTGTTTTAAAGGATCCTTTGTAGATGGTCCATACTGGATCTGTCATCCGTCCTTAAACAGTTCTTGTTATCGCTATTTCTTGAGAAGTACTTGATGGATCGTTTTCAAATTTTCACATGTACCAGTGGGTAGGTTTCCCTTGGTCCCTAGCTATGCCTGTTTGATTTTGAGACTGATCATAAGCACAAAATCGCAATTGGCCATCTTGGATTTTCCTAGTAAAATTTGTTATTGCAAAGTTTTGAGAAAGACTGAAATAACTCTCCTAATGTCGTTTACATTGACCACTAGTTGTGTCCGATTAATTTTTGGACTGATCAGAAAAACGAAATGACCATCAGGCGGCCATCTTGGATTTTTTTTCAACGAAAATTGTTATGGCTTTTGCAGGAGAAAAAACTTGATGAATCTCTCAAGTTTCACAAGTAGGTTTCCCTTGGTCCCTAGATGTGCCCATTTAAATTTAGGACTGATAAGCAAATCAAAATGGATGACAAGCGGCCATCCTGGATTTTTAGTTTGTTATCGCTATTAAATGAGATCTTCTGCATAGATATTTCTTATATTTTTTGTGTAGGTTTCCCTTGGTCCGTCGTTGACCCTGTGTGATTTTGGGTCTGATCAGAAAAATAAGATGGCCGACAGGAGGCCATCTTGGATTTTGATTTTTCTAGTTTGTGATCGCTTTTTGTTGAGAAATACTGCATAGATCTTCCTCATATTTAATATGAACGTCACGCTTGGTCCCCAGTTGTGCCTGGTCAATGTTGGGGTTCAGAAAAAACAAAATGGCAGACAGTCGGACATCTTGGATTTCGCCTTGTAAAATTTGTTATCACTATTTCTCAATAAGTACTGAATGGAGAGCTCTTGAACTTCATACGTAGGTTTCCCTTCGTCCCTAGCTGTGTCCGTTTGATTTTGGGACTGGCCGGTAAAAATGGCTTTCAGGTGACCTTGGATTTGGCAGTTAAAATGGTCATCGCAATTTCTGCAATGGAATGTTCAAATTTCCTATCAAACTATGAAGATCACAAACAGAGAAAAGAGAAAAAAGGAAAGATCCAACCTTCAAAGAACATATAACGATCAAACAATGTTGGATGCCAAGATCCTTCTGGGATCTCTTGCTCTTGACGCTATTTCTCAAATTTCATACGAAGAACCCCGTTAAACTGATCACAAAGTAAAAACTGCCAACATGTGACCATATTTGGATTTTCAAAGATAGATATTTCTTAAGGACTAGATTGAACTTTCTCAAATTTCATTTGTAGATTTCTATTTGTCCCTAGATACAAATGTGTACATGTTCAATTTCTGAACTGATCATAAATTAAAATTGCCAGCAGGGGGGCATATTGTATTTCGACATTTAAATTTGGTATTACTATTTCCTGAAAAGCACTGGATAGCTCGTTCTCAAATCTGATATGTAGGCCCTCATTTGTCTTTAATTATTCATGTTTAATTTTTTAGACTGATTACATAACAAAATGGTCATCAAGTGGCCATATTGGATTTGAAATTTGAAGTTTATTGAATAATTTCCTGAGATGCACTGGATGGTTATTTTTCAACCTTCATGTGAAGACTTCCAGTAGTCCTAGTTGGGCGATGTCAATCATGGGATTGATTAGAACAACAAAATGGTCATGGACACGTTATTGACAATAGCTTTATCTGAAGAAGTTATGAATGAATCCTTTAAATAAGTAGGTTTCCCGTGCTCCTTAGTGGTAAATATTTGATTTGTGTAGGAATAGGAAAGGGACAATCAGAGAGAAATGATTCAAATGATAAAGAATCAACAAGTTTATTCTTATCCATAAAATGTTAACAGAGACAATCAACAACTGATAACAGTACGATGTAGTCACAGAACAGTCACTTTCGAGTCCGTCATTTTTAATTGATCATTTGATGTTCACAGCGATGGGAACTGATATTGTTTTCTGGTCCCGAGCTATTCTCAGAATGAATAATACTATCCGAGACGGTCTAAAAGTTTGTGTTGAAAGATATGATTTCTGATAATATCTAATGTCCACTGATACGAGTAGAGTCTACGCATATATAGCCCTGTTTAGTGTTACAACACCACTAAGCACACCTGTGGAAATTTCGCCTGCCCTGACGACGGTGTTGACTTCCGGGACGCGTTAGTTGTGAAGGAAGTGAGAGTGTTTGTAACAGATAAGCTGTGTTGTTGTTTAAGTGATTTGAGGCGCACTAGCCTTTATGGTTAGTAATAGTGTCATGACGTCGAACAGGTGTGTTTGATGACCGAGTTAATTAGCACTGATTGACAGGTGATTACACGAAACAGGATGTGTAGATGGGGCTGTACCACAACCAACACCGTAAGTATATATATCACTATTCTGGGTGTATATCTATTTTACTGTTATATCAACATCGTACGCTTCAGTTGGGCCTCTGTTTTTTTAACGACATAACATTTCCTGGTACATATTGTCGGTGTTGTCATTTTGACGTCACAACTCATAAAAAAGGGTAAAACACGTGTATTCTACATGGACTTATACGGTGTATATGGTAATGGGATAACGGGAAAATCATCTATATAGTAAGTCACACCTTATACTTTAAATGGGCTTGTTATCTCGCGTGATATCACCCGTACAAGTTTCGGGATTTCAATGACTTTTCCAAACACTGATTTTAAATAAATACTGTTTACAGCCTACGATGACAACACAAATTTTACATAAAAAGAGTACAAATAATGTGGAGAGTATTACAGATTAAGCTTATAAATGATTACTGTTTCTTCTTTCATTCATCGCTTCACATTTACTTCAATCTAGCTCAAATCTTTTAAAAATTCCAGGTATTGTTCGATTTTTTTGCAATATTTTGAAGGGAATGCCAAAGACGCCGCTGAACTCCGTTTGAATTTTCTCTGAAAACCGATTTTGCCTAGGTCCAATATTTCGATTCTGTTTCCACTAATATTAGATGATTTTATTACCTATATGTAAGATACTGTTTTGTTGGGACTTACAACTCGTATTCAATAAGCGTGGCTACAGGAATGGGCGGCACAGGATTTACGGGACTCAAACATTCAATTGGTTTTCTTGTTGGACTCACTGAAATTTTGAAAAGCCATTATATTTCGTTGTAACTGGACTCATCAACAAACTGGACTCATCAACCTTTTGAAAATTGTGCTGTGGACTTACCAAGTGAAATTCTACAAAAATATTGGCATTTTTAGGCGAGATAGCTCAATTTCTTGAAATAGTGATAATAGAGACAGAATTCATTCGAGTTCAACTGAGTTGTGTGTAATTGACCTACGAACCACATCACCAAGTAACAGATGATCTAGCCATCATCGAGAAGGTTACTTGATGCTCTCTGTAACTTCTCTGTAATTTGTTCTTACTGAAATTGTTCACATTGGTCGGTATTCTTTCATGGTCACAGAGGTTTTCAACTTCTTTTTATATACTTTCCTTCTCTAAATATCAGAACTGTAGTGGTATTTCATTTTTGGTATCGCTACGAAAGTAACGGATCTTAAGGATTGAAAAGTTATAATTCAGTTGTTAAGGAAACTTCTCCAAACTTTTTTGTATGTTACAGATGTCTAATTTCATGGTTATGCGTATAATTGTATATAAGCTATCATTATAGATGTACATTTGATAATTGTGGGTTTTGTGGTTTTTAACAGACGTACATGTGTAAGTGGTGCGGGACGAGGTACTGTAAGGAGTGTCTCCATGGAGATTTTGTCGGACAGATGAAGGAGCCGACAAAATGCAGAATATGTAACCAGGTAAATTAAAGGCTCGAGTGATGTCCCCTCTATAGTATGGTAAGGCAATGCTCGAGTGATACTTGCTCATTTTACCAGCTAAACCAAAGGATTATGCGATATCTCCCATTTAACCCGTTACACTAATGACTCGAGAGTTATCTCCCATGGAACCAGGTAAGCCCAAACTCAAGTGATATCTCCCATTTAACCAGGTAAGCTAAAGACTCGAGTGGTATCCCCCATGTTAACTAGGTAAGGCAAGATTTTAGTGATATATCCTATGTTAACTACGCTACGCAAGACTGCCCTATAGCCAAGTAATACCATACTCGTGTGATATCGACTTCACAACTAGATAATCCAAGGACGCGAATATCTCCCGTACAATAAGATGATAATGAAAGTATCAGGTGTCACTCAGGTGATAATATACACCTTCTCTATAGCCAGGTAGACAACTAGCGCGATTGTCTCCCCTTCCAATTAGGTTAAAAAATATATTTCCCGTGCAGTTAGACCAAGAGCTCGTGCGACAACAAAACTCATCAAGCTAGGATTTACTTCCTTTAAAATGCCTTTAGAACTTTTCTACAGAAGAACTTCTAAAACTCTCAACTATTTTCCGTGATAAAGACTTTGCCAAACCCTTTAAACACAATTTATTATTGTGTTTGATACACATTTATAGAACATCAACAGACGAAAAGAATTCTGAAAAAATAAGTTATTAACCATTTATTGAATATGTATCAGTATGCTTTTTCAACCATCAGATTCGGTGTCAAGGCACTCGAGTGGAGTATGTTCCCAATCAAAACAAGCAGGAAGACGGCGACAATAAACGCGGGAAATCGGCTCCAGCTGGAAGGGGGCGTTCCCCAGCGAAAAGTGCAAGGTCCACAAAGTCGGCAAAGGGATCCAAAAGTGCCAAAGGAAAGAAGTCGGGAAAGAAAGCAGGAAAGAAAAAGAAGAAGAAGTAATGAAAATTCAGTGTGCATGAACAGCCAAATGACATTTAGAAAGTCTTATAAATTATAATTTTTACATTAGTCAAAAGGTAGCATCTCCTCGCTTTATAGACGCAGACACGAGAATGACAGAAATCCAGGATTGGTTATTCAAACAGAATTCCTAAAATCAATGAGAATGCAATACCAACATTGCCAAATAACGATTTGTTCGGAGATAGAATTTAAGATATGCTAAAATCGTAGTTGTTGTCATGAATAGCATTTACGTATTACGAATATTAATTTCATTTGTATTCATTCATTTTTACATTCGAACAGCGAATTTTACAATTAATGTGTATTTGATTACTGGTAAAAATAATATTTATTTCAAATCGTTTTATGTTAAGAAGTGGTTCCAAATAACATGAAAATTGTTTTATGTAATTTCTAAATGTTATAGGATATTTTTCATGACAATTTTTAAATTTCTATTTATTTTCCTCGATTAAGTTGTAAATCCAATAGCAATATATGATTTTACTTGGCCTAGCCTACTAGCCGTTTTACTATGAATGCGCCGTGCCTTTTGCCATGTTTTAACGTGATACTTTTTAGAATCCTTTACTTATCATTCTTGTTAGTGAACATATATTATGAATAATACTTTGTTTACAATTTAATGTATTCATTGACCGGAACTACATGGGATAACACATCTAAAGTGTGCCAGTCTGGCAAATGTCCAGGGTAAAAAAAGGGACGTAACTCCGAGTAAATTACAATTACTGAGAGCTGGTTGTGACTCTATTTGTTCCTACGTGATTTAATTGTTACGACATGTTTTCCTAATAAATTTGGTAGCTCGTTTGTTTGAAGACCAACTTGTTATTTTCTGGAGATTAACAATATTCTACCTTATTCCATATCTCGTCATCACCCGTCCTCATAACACAATGGCAGGTATTGGCTCCCTAGCTAGACACCGTCCTCGTATGACCCTGGTTGTTGGTGACATTCTAAACACCCGTCCTCATATCGACCCTGAAAGTTGATATCTCCCTAGACATCCGTCCTCATATCACCCGTGGATGTTGGTATCTCCCTACAAACCCGTCCTCATATCGACCCTGGGTGTTGGTATCTCCCGTACACACCCGTCCTCATATCGACCCTGGGTGTTGGTATCTCCCCTACACAGCCGTCCTCATATCGACCCTGGATGTTGGTATCTCCCATTTACCCGTTCTCATACGATCTTGGTAGTTGGTGACGCCCTTGACAACCGTCCTCATATAATCCTTACTGTTACGCGATCGTAATTGCATATGTGCGCAGGTATGTTATATGTACACTGCAGGATTTTGAACGTCAGACCTTAATCAGGAAACTTGGCAGTTTCCGTAACCGAGCAAATATGGATATATGTTGTCATTATTTTATATATTTTATGGGAAACCAAGTACATATGAACTTGTAGATTGATATTCAATGAAAACACGTAAATTCCATTTAAGTACATTTTCAAAGAAAAAAAAATTGTATTTCAGTTTCGTTTACAGAAAGTGCACTAGTTAATATGTATAGATGCATTACCATACTTCTGAAATATATGATATTCCGTGGGAAAGTTATTAAGTAGTCTCTATATATCTTTATGTTGCCACTGAAATGTCTAATTAGTATTATTAATGTGTAAAATATACATTCTTCCATTGTTACAAACATTAATTGTCTTGACTTTGTCACTGATTCATCTTATCGGGAAAGTTGAAAAAAAGCCTTACAAAAAAAAAAAAAACAAACAAACCAAAAACCAACCAAAAAAAACCCCAACTAATTGTTAATTGTTGTATGACATTCCTATGGTTGTCGTGAACACTAATCTAATTTAATTCTAATATAATATTAACGTTTTAAAGGATTGTTATGAATTAGCTGTATTAAACATCTCGACCTCCGTTTTAATGTGAAAGGTTAGAATATCGTTGAGAAGACAGGATGTCACACTGCAAAGGTTAAAGATACTTTAAGTCAAACGTTTCCTTGAAATAACACACATGCTGATAAAGCCCTTGTAATTAATTACATATAAAAATAGTACTTACGTATCAAACATACCTAATGGCAAGACATAAAAAAATATTCAAAGTTTGATTTTTTTTTTAAATGTGCTAACGACCTGATTTTACAAACTGTGCTGTTTCTTGAGATGTATCCGGATACCTACATGTAGAGTGAATGGCCATTCGGTCGCCTAATGATGTTGACCTAGCGCTAATCTATGTCATTCAGGTAAAAAAATCCACATTCCTCACACTATACCTTCTGGGCATGATAACGCAAAACGTTAACGTAGCATTTATGTGTTGTCAATTGCGGTGTAAGTAGGAACGTTCACATCCCTCAGGTAGGCAGTCCCGGAGAAAAGTCAGCGTTACGTTTGTCATTAGGACATTACACACTGACAGATGGGAGATATTGCATGTGACGATGATCAGTGTTTGTTCTGACGCAGGTAAAACATCACAATAACATGGAGAAGTCCATCAGCATGTATACAGGTAAGTTTTCATGGAATAAATTATAGACATATGCCAATTAAGTCAACATTGTACTTTAATAACGTGTCACCGACATATGTTCTTATTGGTCAAAAATGCATGTCTATTGATCGGAGTGTAAGTCGTCATCAATTTAACCAGGTCTGTTTGTTTGGGTTAGAATGATGATCTTATCAGATCGTGAACCGATGGAACTGAAAAATCGTGCTTTACAGATAACCTTTGTTTCTAACTTTGATAATCCCAGCTGATCTGAACCAATGTCTTTCTCCGTCGTTAACTGTTTGTCGTAAAGTCGCACTCGATCGGAAACAGTGATATTCTTGGTAACAAATTCGCACTATATCGTAACCAACTAGCGCTTTTCTCGAGCGGTCAGAATTTCACCCGACCGGAACCAGCGTTTCGTTTTCGATTTAAAATTTTTAACTTTCACTCGAAAAGAATACTGAAAACTCTCACTGGATTGAAACTAACACATTTTTCGATGAAAAACTCGTACTCGATTTAAACCAACGTTTTTATGGTTATAAATTCTCACTCGGTTGAAACCGACCCTTTTTCCCGATCAAAAACTCTCACTCGATCGAAACCAACGTCTTTTTCGGTCACACTCGATTGAAACGTGTTTTTTCCTGTTTAAAACTCTCTCTCGATTGTAGGGAACTCAATCAAAATTCATTTGACCAAGGTAGACATTTTTTCCCTGTCAAAAAACTCTCGATTGGAACCAAATAATTTCTCGGTCAAAAACTGTAACATCTCAGCCGATCTATGAAATGTCTGTCAACAGGAATCAAGACTTACTTAATCATATCCTCTCGGTCGATCCAACCAAATTTGTTTTCTCTGTAATAAAATCTGAGCCAGTTAGTATCAGTAGCTTTCTTGGCCATAATTTCATATCAAGAACTATATTGTACCTGACAGTATGTACTTCAGGGCTTGGAAGGTTGTTTGTGCTCGGCAGGTCGGTGTTTTCTTCTTCAGGAACTCCGACTTTCCTCTACCACTCAAATCTGTCCTTAACTGATCCTGGCTGTTGATAGGACGTAAAACAACGATAATCTAAACCAGTCATGAAATATAGGTTACCCTTTACGAGTCAAAGAACTGAAGTAACATGTATGTTGAAAAAACCCAAGATTTCCACTGTGTGAAGTTCAGATGTAATTCTTACAAACTTACCGAGTACTTTTTTTGTAAGTGTTATAAGGCTTGATGTCACTAAAGGCTTGATGTCACTAAAGGCCTTGTCATAACAATGACGAGTTACCAAGCGGTTGCGTCATGTACATCCGAATACAATTATATATATTAATATCAAAATTTCATTTGAGTTTTGGCGTGTGTCAATACATATGTGTATACTTTATTAAATCGTTTGTGTATTTAATGTTACAAAGATAATTTTAGGAAGCGCCAATGTTAACAGCGGCTCGTTGGTCTAGGGGTACAGGAATCAAGCCCGATAAATCTTTTTAACAATCGCCATGAAAATGGAGACAATTAACAGAAAAGTCGTGTCCAACAAAGTCTAACGATAACTAACAGTAAATTTAACTCGGCAAGCTTTCGTAAGGAAAGTTTACCATCAGTTTGTTTCTTTCTAGTCTAAACTATAAAAGTAATATCACAATCGGCCTGCCAATCAACAGCAACAATCTGGATATTTCATATATGCCGTTATGTCAGTCAAAGAATTTAATGTTACCGAAGCAGTATATGAGTAAGTTAAGGGGTAGTTTCGTATTAATGATTAACAGCACTCTTGCACATCTTGACACACGCTGGCATAAGTTGTGGTACGGCGAGATGTTCGAAGTTTTTGTGCATTCATGGATTCACGTCCCGCAAACGCGATGCGCAAATTATAAATTAGTTATGTGATCGTTCACTCACGTTCACACACATCACCCATAAATCGAGATAATCATATGACTGAGTAACGAATACCGAGCGCGTTATCAGAGTTCGCAACTTGCGAAAAGCATGTGGGGCATGTTGCTGACAATCACGTGACTACAGCCCGCCAATTCAAATTAAAAACTTCACTGGACGTCACAGCATCAAGATAATATCGAAGAAAAACGCCGCTTAGACGTCTTGTGGTCGTCTACATGGACGTGGCTAATGATGCAAGGACTATACGAATCCATCACCACCCACACATTAATTCCCACGCCACTGGAATGTGTTAGCAAGGATGCTAAATGCATTTTCTCATTTCATTTCTCGGGAAAAAGAGTCTACACGTTGAAGACGCACTATTTATTTGTAAGGCACAGGAAGCTGTATCGTGGTGCGAAGGCATCTTATCAATGAAGAAGGGACACCCTGGTGTGGAAGGTGGTCAGGACAGGAGAAAACTTGGGTTCTGTCTCCAGGTACTGTCATCAGTGCATTCCTTCAGCTCATGGATGTTGTATATCTGCATCTGATGCTGTTTTATTCGGTACCACGGAA